CGACGACAGAGAATGCTAGGAACAAGGGGGAGCGCGAGTGGTCGACTTACGAGACGGTGTAGGCACCACCGGCAACGGTCTTCTTGCAGCCCTTGCACTCCCAGATACCAACAGCCTGGCGCTTGACGGTGTTCTTTCCGCAGAAGGTGCAGACGTAGCGGGCGTGCTGGGTGATTTCCATCTTTTTCACCTGCTTACGCAGGGAGGCACCGTATCTGTAATGAACAAGCCATGTCAACCAACCATTCTAGCTCTCCTGAATTCGATATTCCGCGCTTTGGATTCCGGTTTCGATGGAGCAGAGCGAAATGCAGACGACTTCAGGTCGATTTTTCGATGTGAGAGGGCGAAAAGCATACCTGGTACCATATTTACCCGTGATACCGACCTCTAAAAGCATGCAGTCAGTATTTCTATCATTTTTTCATCCTTTCTCCGTGGTTTATCTCGATCAAAATCACTCACTCTTAGTGCGCTTCGTCATCTTGTCTCGTGTGCGGCTGTTGAGGTCAAAGATGGATACAGTGCGGTAAGACGAAACTCGAGCCTGCGGCTTTCTTGAGAGACTGGTTGTGGGTGGGCTCGCTTAGGGTTCGACTCTTGGCGAAGTTTAATCACGTGATATTCGGTCCATTCTGACGTATGATTCCCAAGCGCATTAAGGAAACTAAAGAGTCGATGAGTGATACAGAACTAAATGGATTCCTCTCTGAAATCTGTCAATATGATTATCTCAATTCCGGCCGATTGATCATATATTCAGTCGTCGTTTGAGAAAGCTAGCGCGCAAGCATTTCTACTACTGAAGGTCTGCGGAGTGGTGCAACCCAAGTAGAACCAGGTTCTTACACGATGGCGGTGACTAACGAAGGATTTATGGTCTTGGGGCTAGTTACATATGGATAATCTGGCTAGAGTCTACCCTGTTGTCAAATTGATCACAATTATTATTATTATTATTATGGTACTATCACTTTACATCTGGTCCCCACAAGGAGTTCACCTCTTGCTTGTAAGGAATCTTATCGTCACATGATCTTCGATAAGTCCTTTCTACTTGCGGTTAGCCCAGAGAACCGAGGTATGACGATAACAAATGGGTACGCGCGGATGTCCCATGTGTTGATCATTAAGGACGTATTCAAGATCGATGCCTGAGAATTGACATTTATATCCCTTGGACGTCTCTAAAGTTGTATCTATTTGATGTCACATAGTCAAGCTTCTTGAGTTTTCAGTCCATAGTATATTACCGTCAAGGTTCGACAGCCCTCGTATAATAACAGACATGGAATCCGAAAAGGAGTTCGACTTGGTTCTTGTTGGTCCTACGGGTTACACTGGGAGACTTTGCGCAGAGCATATTGTCAAGGACTTGCCGACGAACCTGAAATGGGCTCTAGCAGGTCGCTCGGTGCAGAAGATTGAGGACATCGCAAAGGAGCTCAGTAATCTCAACCCTGACCGCACCGCGCCAGGTAACTGAAGACCAGAGCATTGAACGAAGTCATCGCTGACGCACCTTCAGAGATTCTTGCTGTACAGCTAAATCGGAAAGAACTGGAGCCCCTCGTCCAGAGGACTAAAGTCATCATCAATTGCGTTGGCCCATACCACCTGTACAGCACTCCTGTTGTTGAAGCGTGCGCCAATCATGGAACTCATTATGTGGACGCGTGAGTGTTACTGCAATGTTATTTGAAAGATTGCGTGGACCAGAACTAAGATACCCATTGCGCAGCACTGGAGAAACACCCTGGGTTAGGGAAATAATTGAAAAGTATCACGATGTCGCGAAGTCTAACGGAGCTATCGTCAGTTACATCTTACCTGAGAAGCACTGCGACTTGTTCTGACTTTATTCTAGATTATCCCATCTGTCGGTGTTGAAAGCGCCCCAGCAGACATCCTAGCTTGGTCTGTTGTTAAACGAGTTCGGGAGGATCTCTCCTGCGACACAAAAGAGGTGACTGGTGCAATCGAGGAGATGAAGTATGTGCACCCTCACCTGCATGCAGTCGGATTGATCCCCTAATGGCCCTATGTAGGAGCTCGGGACCAAGCGGTGGCACCCTGAATACGGTGCTCACAATCTTCGACTCCCTTTCCTTCTCCGACATCCTCAAATCCACGGACCCCTTCGCTTTGGCCGCCTCCGCGCCCCCCAAGAATGTCCCCAGCGAGCCACTTGTAGACAAGATCCTAGGAGTTAGGTCCGTTCGGGACTTGGGTACTCTCACTACGTCGCCATCGGCTATGGCAGACATCACCATTGTGCACCGCAGCAGTACCCTGATGCCGGAATTCTACGGGCCACGCTTCTACTTCCGGCAATTTGTCAAAGTTAGAAATGCACTTGTCGGCGTAATCTTTCATTATGCCTTCATCATCGGCTTGTGTCTTCTGATACTCCCTCCCGTTCGCGCGCTGGTGCGGAAGGTCGTCTACGCCGCAGGTCAGGGGCCGCGCAAGGAAGATTCAGTCAATGACCGCGTCGAGTACCGTGCAGTAGCGACAGCCGATCAAAAGACAGCTGCACCGCAGCGTGTTTTCGGCAAATTCAAGTATGAAGGGTCGATGTATGCACTGACTGGTTTGCTGCTTGCCGAGGCAGCAATGGTCATCTTGGAGGAGACGGAGCGAGTGAAGAAGGTGTCCCGATGCGGCATAGTAACGCCAGCAACATTAGGACAACCGTTTGTTGACCGATTAGAGAAAGTTGGATGCCACGTTGAGACTCAGGTCTTTGACTACTGACGCCGCCACCGTTTTTGATGCCTTGCTTGCCTGCTGTCCCTAATGAAGGATGTTTTGTCTATTGATGTTACGCCCATCATGTTAATGAAACGCCAGACTTATGTAAATTAATTACGCACAGTTTTCGATAGTGGGTTGAGATCCAAGTTTGACCACAATACTCATTTGAACAAGCTAATGACCTTGGCTGTGTAAGCACCGCAACCCAAACAGTAAACCCAGACGCCTCTCATGTTATGATCGAAGTATCACACATATACTATTACATACAATCCTGTAAATAATTCACAACTTGAACAAACGGGGATCGGTGAATACCACTTCTTCCAGCCACCAAGCGATCATCTCATTCACCTCCTTAGGCTTCTCCCACAGAGCCCAGTGAGATGTATTGACCTGTTTGTAAGTCAAATGAGGGATGGTCTTTGTCATACCCTTGCCCAGATGTGCCGGAAGAGCGGCATCTCTGAGTGCTTGAATAAAGAGGACTGGGGCGGTGATGCGCCGGTCAAGGATGGCTAGTTCTTCTTTGTGGTTCACTTCTCTCGTCCGGTACCAGTTAACTGTAGTCCCATTAGCGATCTGTCCTGTTATGCATGAGATACCAAGTGTCTTACGTGGACCCCGAATGCCAGTTCGCGAGAACTCTTTAGCATAATAGTCAAGTTCCTGAGGTTCCCAGCTATCAGCACCCTGAAAACCAAAAATAGAGGGCGATCACAAAAGAGAAGAAAAACTGACCTCTTCACTGAGCAGCTTCGATGGTTGCACCTCGAACATTTTGTCCAGGAGTATTCCCAAGCCCGCGTCAAAGGCGACTTCTCCCTTTTCAGTACGACCGCCGTATAATGCGCTGAGGAATTTCTTGATAGCGTCTTCTGTACGGATGACTGGTTCCAAGTCGCCGCTTTTTAGTTGCAACTGATAGGCAAAATGCGGCGCAACCGTTGCTACAAAATCCTCCAGAGGATAGTACTTCTTAGTCGGGGGGCTATATGGTACGCAGACCGTGAACAAATGAGTAACGAGGTCTGGATACCAGAGGGCAACTCGGTACGCAAATGCAGCACCCCTGTAAAATATGGTCAGTCATAAGCACTCTCAGAATGTAAAGATTGAAGTCAGGAGGAATGTACCAGTCATGTCCTCCTACGATGATCTTGTCGGCACCAAGTTGTAATGCTAGCTCCTTGATGTCATCGGCGCACTGCTTGTGAGAGTATAGCGAAATATCCTCTGGAGCATCCTACCACGTGGTCAGCACATTTGAAATATTAGAACGAGATAGATAGTTGTATTAAGTCCATACTGTTCGTCCATATCCCAAACAATCTGGAGCAATAACCCGCAGCCCCATATCGATCAGCATGGGGATTTGATACCGCCATCCCATCGACAGGTCTGGGAAGCCATGGAGCTAAGAAAGAGTCAGTTACTCGTCAGTATGTATGTGAGTAAGGGCTGACTGACAAGGAAGATGGTAGCTCTGTACGTGCCTGTTTTTGGTTCGCTATAGAGGTAACCTGAAGATATATAGTTAGTGAACGGTCAAGATATGATTTGCGATGGTGCTTCCAGCATAATCTGTCCGACAACACAGGAGTTCTGGTCGCATGCCAGAAAAACGTGCACAACGTGCTGAAGTGACAAGATGCATACCGTATTGCTTGCCATTGACCCTTGCTTGACGGAACTGGACCCGAGGGTCGCCGGTGACGTTGATCTTATCAACAATCATGATTGCAACGCCGACCGGACAATTTCAGATATCCGAATTTCGTTTATGCGAACGCGCTCTTGCAGGAGGAATAGAGAACTACCTGGAGATCAGGTTCTACCGACTTTTGCTCTTATTTATGTACAACGAAGCTATGGATCCCCGCCAGCTGTCTTGTCACGTGCGTTTCGAAGCTGCCGAAACGTATTGGACGCCTGGACAGAGATGACAAGGCTACAAATAAGAATGGAGAAAGCGCCTGAATTACGAAGTACGGAAACCTCAACGGGATCAACGGATTGCCGATATCATTTCTGTTGTGACGACGAGCAGAGCCGGTGTGTCCATGAATGCGGTTGCCAAGTCCAGCTCTTGCCGCCGAATTGCCTCGGTTGGAGTTACTGCTGCCTTTCCCCACAAATACTTGCGGCTGCTACATCACTGACACTGACCATGAGGGATTACGAAGAGTATGGTAAAAGGCAAAGCCTAGATAATCAAGAAGATAAAAAGGCCCAACATGACATTAATAAATCACCGTATCCTCATTGTCCTCGACCACCTCTCCCCCATCGTCATCAGCCGCCCGATGGTCATCTGAACCGGTGTATTTGACTGACGCCGGAACGTCGTTGACAGTTTCGGGTACAGAAGCTTCAGCGTTCGCCTTGTCTGAGCTTTCCTTGGTCGTATCTTTGGGCTGTTGGACATCGGTGTCGGGCTGCGGAGCTTCTTGTTGATTACCAGCTTGGGTCTCTGTTTCCTCCTTCGACTCACTTTCCTCCTGAGGAGGATGGCGTGCTTCGAATTCAGAGCGTTCTCGGGAGATGGTAGCTTCTGCTTCCTCAATCTGGCGGCGTATTGAGTCCTCATCCTCGGGCCGCAATTGCCATGGCTTGTAGTACTGCAATGAAAAGAAGGGTTAGATCAATCACGATACCGGAGCCGCAACATTTGGAAATCCTGTAACATACCAGCACTGGCTCCGATTCTGTCTTCAAGAAATGTGCCATTGCCAACAAATTCGAGTGCCGGGTTCGCATCTATAAACATCAACCATAAGCTCGCAAGCTCGTAAACTGGGAGCAGCGGGCACTTACCGATTCCTCTTCGTAGTATCTCTGTTGCTTCTTTCTGAGTGCGACTCGCTCCTCCCTCTTCTTCCTTTTCAACTCATCGTACTCTTCGTCTTGAAGTTTCAATTTATCTTGTTGCTTCCGTTCAATGTCTGCTCGCCGCTTCTCAGCTGCTGTACTGGACCTCTGCGAAAGCGTCCCGAGTAGTGCTCCGAATAGTCGTTGTCCGCGCTTCCGCTCCTCATCGCGACCATTTGCTTGCCGACTGGCCCTTCGGCCCGGCCTCTGCTCTGGTGTATCTGAAAATGAAGGCTTGCGATCCGATGCTGGATGATCCTTCTCCTCTTGGGTACTTAATCGGCGACGCTTGCTATCTGGATCCGGATCTGTAGTAGATGAATTTCTTCGCTTGAGGGTGGCATCTGGAGATGGAGCAAGGATGTCGTGCTCAGGCACTGCGACTGCAGAAGCAAGCGTCCTAAGCAATCGTCAGTCTTAGTTAGCGCAAGAAACGTGCACAAAAGACCGTAGAAGACGTCGTACCCTTCTGCCATATCTGGGGCTGCGAATTCTGACGCGATATCTGAACAGTCGCAGCGAATGCCAGAAAACAGCTTCAAGACGTTTGGTAATAAAAAGGTGAGAAGAATTAACAAGCGACTGCGCTTGGATCATCCACTGTCTCGTCTAAAACTCCAAAGTCAGAACGACCAGTATCGTAAGTCTAGTCGCGATATCAATGGCGGGACTCCAACATCCCGTGCACGGACCATTTTGCCCGATCTGCTGCACCACAAGGCGTTGCGTGGAATCTTCTTTCTTCTCCTTCCAACGCCTTCTATCAATTCTCTCTTGATTGATAAACTGCCAACGCCGGTTCCCTCCTGGCCACCTTAAATTTGCGTCCAGAACCCGAAGCTCAGAAGTCTTACCGATAATATCTTTGTCGCTTGAATTAGTGGCGATATTCAGCAACCTCCATCTTTAAGCCTTTTTTCACATACCTCCCTGTTCAATACAGCGCCGACGTCGCAAATTCAGCAGCCATGTCTCGCCATCACCCAGATCTCGTTATGTGCCGCAAGCAGCCCGGTATTTCCATCGGCCGACTCTGTGACAAGTGCGACGGCAAGTGTCCCGTGTGCGATTCCTACGTGCGACCTACGACGCTTGTCCGGATCTGCGATGAATGCTCCTTCGGCAACTATCAGAACAAGTGTATTGTCTGCGGTGGTGAAGGTATCAGTGATGCCTTCTATTGTTTCGAGTGTACGAGATTAGAGAAGGATCGAGACGGGTGTCCCAAGATTATAAATCTGGGAAGTTCGAGGACAGATTTATTCTACCAGAAGAAAAGTTTTCGAAATCATTGATGTTGCGGCATGCCTTTCCTCGTTCGCCCCATACCTTAGCCGATCACGGTGCATTTCGGTGTCTGGGGGCAAGGCATCTTCTACCCTACGCTTATATTTCTCGCACCTTCCGCAAAATATGTCGGCTTCCGGGCGATTTTTCATATGTGAGAGCTTAGAAAGGGTGGACATATTTTGACAGTGACTTCGGGGGCTATCTAAATATTCTAAGAAGGTGCCCGGAAGAGCCCTACAGCCAATTCTACCTTCCAGGCCGCTTTGGTCTGGCGAATCCTCGTCTCAGCCCATCATTCTGTTGGGGCTGGACCTCCTCCTGCAATCTGTCTCCTGAGATCTCGTCAGGAGAAGATGCCTCGATCTGCATGTCGCATCGTTAGATGGTAAAGAATCAATCATGTGGTTGTCACGCAAAGCATACCTTCTTGGAAATCTTCAGGCCCTGTTCATCGGCTACACGAAGGGCATACATCCGAGAGCTTGCGTAAAGCATGCGCTCCTTGATCGACGAGCCCGACGGGCAGGTATAAATGAAGAAAACGGTATCGGTTTCAGGATAGTGGTAGAAAGTGTACCGAGGCGAGGATGAAGAGATGTGCGTCTGAACGGAGTTCGCGTCAATACCGGACTCCGCAGCAGCGAGCTTGAACGTTTCCGACGGGATGTCGATGGCCTGTATTTCGCAGAGCTCGTAGTTAGCAATCACTGAGATATCAAAAGATTTTAAGCTTCCGAATTCAGTTCCAAACTCCAGAGGACGTACCAGTTGCACCAGCCCACCATCATGTAGTCCTTCAAGAGCAGACTTCACATCATCGTCCACAGTCATCCGCATCCCAGACTGCACACCAGAGCCGAAACCACCCCTCGCGAACGATCCACCAATGCCGATGTCCCTACCAGGAGTACCGCTTCTAGCCTCCTCCTCCGCCCTCCGCACAGCCTCCAGCTCACGCTCCTTGTCCCCCATCAAATCCTCCCGTCTGAAATCTCCCTTGCCACCAGACCCCTTCTTCTCCGCATCTCTCTCGCGCCACGCCTCCTCGCTGGTGACTTCTTCCTCCTCTGTCGCAAAGATGGTAGTCGCAAACTTCTCGCTGCCTAGTTCTCGCACCAGCGTGGCACGGGTCGAGGCGAAGAGCGTCTTGGCGCGGACGGGGGCATTCGATGGAATGTATGTCAACGCGCACAGGGACGAGGAACCCGACTCGGGGCGACGGAAGAGCAGATAGAGGGGGGTTTTCGGCTGCAGCACGGACGAGAGTTGCGAGAGCGAGGGGTAGAATGCGCCGGGGGAGGAGAACCGGATAGGGGAGAGGGGGGTCAGGCTCTCTGCTGTGATGGTTACAGGGAGACAGAAGATGGAGGAGTCTGAGGAGAAGTCGTTGAATGCATCATGCAGCTCGGACGAGACTGGGAGACAAGTCAGCGTTTCTCTCTACTCTGTAGTCGGGATTGGGCATGTCGTATGCAGTATGCAGTGCAGTGCAGCAGACTGAGGGGTTCGGACTGTGGGTGAAGTGTGCTTACCTGCAATTCCTGACTGCATTTTGACTATGTGCAGTTGCGGCCTGGTATCTCAAGAATATAGAACCTAGCAACTGCTTTTGTGTGATGTCCTCAATGTTTAAGAAGTGTTTACAGCTGTCAGAAGCGGTGTAAGTTGGAGGTGTTTAGCGGGGTAATCCCGATTGCCCAAAGTGGCTAGAGTGAGGGAATTGCAAGTGGCCTGTTCCCCAAGGCATTTTGAACAAATCGTAGATACGCCATTGGCATCTAGCCAACTGCGCGACAGACATCATATGTTATCTTTCAGACTTTTGATTCTATATTTAAGATGTGAAAGGAATTGGTATACTAACAGATGGCGAGACCAAAGACAAAGAAAAGAAATGTTATATACAAGTCAACTGTGCTGTTTTCAAATCGACAGGCCTCACCCATAACCAAAGCCCAGAGTGCGAGTGCCATCATCAATTCGAAGCTAATAACCCAGAAAAATAATGCAGTGAGATCGCAATGCAATCGAAAACGCCACGTTGCTCATGGTATCAAATACTTTCGAAAACACGCAGCGGCCGTTTCCTCAACCTCGATTGAAGACAACCGTACTTATTCCTCATATTTGCCACCCACGAAGGCCCAGTTTGACTCTTCGAGTTTGCCCTTGAGGAACTCGTATACCGTGAAAGTCACAGCCTGACCAGGAGCAACTCTCATCACACGAGGAGTGATACCCTTGTAGAAAGCGCGCGCACCCTCCTGCTTGAACATGTCCTTGGCAATGACCATGATTCGGCTGACGGCGGACTGACCAGGTTCAGCGCGTGTCTTCTGGAGTCTGGTCTTGATGGTGTCAATGGGGGCGTTTGAGAAGGGACCGACGGCACCGGAGATCAATCCGATGAGCGTTGTCTGATATGAGGGAAGCTGCGAGTTGCTGTACTCGGGCTGGGCTCTTTGAAGGAAGGCCTTCAGCTCGGTGTATGCGGTGAAGTTGGCAGCTTGGTTGGTACCCTGGCGAAGAGCTGTCAGGGAGACACCGCGATATAGGGTGCTAAATCCTTCTTCCCGGATCACGGTGAATAGTGCGTGGGGTGCGCTGCGGTACTTGGGGGTATCCAGAGGGTCCGCCAGACTGTGATGCTGCGCTTGTAAACGAATCTTAACGACTTCCATGGGGTTTACCACAGCGACGGCTTCGGTCACACCAGCAGCAAGACCAGCTAGGTCGAGATGTCAGTTCATACCCAGCTAAAGACACAGTGACCGAGGAAGGCATTGATCACGTACCAAGGAAGGTGGCCTTGCTGGTAACTGCACCAGTCTCCTTATCCGCAAGCATCTGCTTGTACCACTCATAGGAGGTGAAGCGAATAGCCATCTTCGGGATGATACCGCCTAGAACAGCTCCCAGACCCTTGTACAATCCCAGGGCAGTCTCCTTCTTCACGATCTCGACACCGGTGGTGATAAATCCACGAGGTTTCGCCTGTCGAAACAATGAATTATCAGTGACCGCACAACTGAGTAACACTTGCGGCTTAACTTACCCCGGGGGCCCTAGCCCGTCGCGAGAGCTGCATTCTGACTTTGATGGTATCTGGGAGATTGTTAGCCCGGCTTTCAGAGCCCGATATCATTGAATTATAGCCATACCAAGGGGATGGCAGACGAGAGCCTCCATCATACCGGCACCACCACCAGCTGTGTCGCATGTTAGCATCACCGCCAACGAAATGTCCGCGCACCACAAAAGCGTCATCTTACCGATCAAGTTCACAGCCGCGGAAGCGGGCTTTTTGCCCTTGTTTCCCTCCACAGATTTGGCGGCCATGGCGAATGACTGGGTTTGTGAAACGCGATTATGCGGCTTTCTTTTCTTTTCTGTCAATTGAGGTTCTAGCTTCCTTCTATGACGATGGCTGACGGCGGTGATTGTTCTCGAAGACTAAACGGGGAGAATGACAGAAAATTGGCAAGAAGGGAGGAAAGGAGGTAAAAAAGGAACGAAGTATGACTCAATTGGGCCCGATATAGAATTAAAAGGCTCCAAGAAAGCGACGATATCGGATCTTCACAGGTGCGCAAGAAATCCGGGGAGTTACGGAAGTATGGAGTTCCCTCGGCTCAAATCAGAGCTGGTATTTAGATTGCTGAGACACTCTGGGGTCACCCGCTTATTGAAATAAAACTGATCGATTTTCGGGAAGGGGGAATCGCTCAATGTTTCGGGATCAGTGGCGGCTTTGTTACTTTGTTCTGTCTATCTTATTCTCCTCGCTCGGGGCCGTGGGGAAGCTATGACGGGGAAGCGGAGGAAGCTCTTCTGGACGAGCGGAAGAGATGCCGCCGCCCGCAATGTAGAACTGAAGGGTAGCCGAAGCTGTAGAAGAATAGAGATAGAAGAGCTGTATTGTTAATTCAGCGATGTGCCTTGCGACTGACTTATATTTCTCGAGCTTTGTCTAGCGATCTAAGTAGAGTTTGCTCATGCCTACAGCGGTTATTGAAGGAGATCTACTGCCGTCGTCTTTCACAGCATCATCCCGAGGCATCGGGACAAGGCCAAAGCTGTTGCCCAGTGTCCAGAGTCCAGTGCCCAGAACCTGCCTTTACTCCGTAGTTAGTCCCTTGGTTGTCCCTTAGATCACCTACACTAGATTTGCCAGGTATGGCTTGAGTTCCTCCCAAGAGCAAATGACTACTACATCACACCCACCAATGATGTTCGAGAACCGTTCTTCACATGCTTAGAGTGACACGATCGATGCATCATCGTCATTACGCATGATCTGAGTGCTTGTGATTCCATACTTATCCTCCCTTAGTCAGGATAAGTCTCGTGCATTTTATTGCAGAAACACCTCCTTTATCCTTCATAGGCGTTTACCTTGGCGTCGTTACCCAGCTATGCGGAAATTTCCGGCTAAGCCCCTCGAATCTTCAGCCGAGGCTTTTTCCCGATTCGGACAGCCTGCGCCGTATGTATGGAGACAGTCACTAGATGCATGCTTTAACAGCACTTGGCTGTTATTGTGACTGAGGAGTTTGAATTTCGTGATAAACGAGTCAAGTGACGTCGATTTAAATAGGATCGAAGACATCTGCACGGTAGATATATTCGTTCTTCTGCTTCAGGGAGGAACCGAGATTTCATACTCCCCACGCTTGATACTAATTCTACGGCTTCTAGTTTATCTATGCTCACTACAAGAGTGATGCAGGCTCTCTATTTGAAAATATAGTACAGTTTATTGGTATATGGCCATGTGTACTATTGCCTTATCGCGCCACGGGCCTCTTATATGTTATTGATTCTTGCTGAATACTGTACATCTGGTTATATATCATAGAGGAAGAGGTCCTGCAAGGAGATAAGAATCGAGGGCAACCACTCACAAGCAAATAGATCCAAATTAATCTGTGTACAGCCTCTGTTCCTGGCGAAAAGCCAATTACTATCTATCAGTATCAGGAATCAGTTCAGCCTGATGTTAAGGCAGTACTTTTTACCCCACACAAGCTATTATCATTTATCAAGGATCATCGGATTTGATCCGATTTCCGTCTTTAACCCCATGAATTGGCATTCCGGAAAGGGGACTGACGGTAAACATGAATCAAACAAGCATTGCTTATTTGAAGTTGATTTGCCTTTGTGTGCTCTACATTACGGTGTACTCACAGAAGGGACTACGACCGACTGATTGCCGAATAACACTTTGCGATGAACCACGGCATAGCCGAAAATGACAGTTCTGAGCGGCCGCGTCCCTCGAAGGCATGGAGCTTGAAGTACATCAGCAAAACGATCTTAATTTTCCTTCTGCACCAATGGTTGCTCATAGGTATCGGAGTCGCCTGTGTTTTGGCATACTATTTCCCCAACGTAGCCAAGCATGGCGGCGTCATCAGAGCTGAATACAGTATCCTGTACGGAGCGATGGCCGTCATTTTCCTCACGTCGGGTCTAAGCATCCCACGCCAGAAATTGTTTACGCATCTTCTAAACTGGCGTCTTCACTTCCTTGTCCAGGTCTTCTCATTCATTTTCATTCCCGCGCTCACACTTGCGGTTGTTCATATCATATTGGCTGGAGATCCGCATGGCCATATCGACCGGGCCGTGCTGGCGGGTTACATCTTCACCGCTTGTATACCGACTACCATCGCTTCGAATGTCGTGATGACCCGATCAGCCGGTGGAGATGATGCAGCTGCTCTGGTTGAGGTTGTCATTGCCAATTTCCTAGGTCCCTTCATAACGGCTGGTTGGACTGTCACCTTGCTCCCCACTACCGCTGAATTTGATCCATGGAGGCAAGCGAGCGGAGATTTAAGTGAGATGTACAAGGATGTATTCAGACAGTTAGGTCTCAGTGCACTTTTGCCCCTGGTAATAGGACAGCTGGTGCGTTGGGCCTGGCCAGAGCAGACGGAACGGGTGATGCAGACATATCGTATCGCGAAGCTTGGATCCGCTTGTTTACTGCTGATTGTTTGGTAATTATTATGATCATGTCCCGAAGTGAACCAAAATATCTGACTTTGATAACCATGGCAGGATGACATTCTCCTCCTGCTTCGCCACAGGAGCACTTCAAACTCTTTCCGTGCAAAGTGTCCTGTTCGTGGTCTTCTTCAACATCGCTCTGTACATTGCCCTCACTGCCATATGTTTTGTTCTTTCACGGCCACCGGAAGTACTATCGGTCAATAGATTCGGCATGCGACGCATCTTCAAGCGCATAACCCCCGAGGAGACGGTCGCAGTATGTTTCTGTGGTCCCGCAAAGAGCACCGCGCTGGGAATTCCCCTGTTGTATGCCATGTGGGCCCCAGTGGACCTGTACACCAAGGCAAGGACCTCGGTCCCTGTGTTGCTGTATACGACGGAGCAGATCTGTATAGCACACTTTTTTGTTCATGCCCTGCAAAGGTGGCATAAGAATCTAAACAAGAAACAGGATGTTGAGACAATCGGCGACCATGGTAGTTCTTCCAGAATGACTGTGCTTTCACTTGCGGACGAACCGTCAGACCAGAGAGGCGTGGGTAGATGCAAGACAGTCCATGATTAGAATGATCAAGTTCCTTGTTTGATAAGATGAAAAGTTCATAACCAGAATGTTTATCGGTAATCCCTTCTCTGCCTTCACAGAGATCGATGCATGCATTTACAAACGGAAGAGATCTTATATAACATAATTACCAGCGGACTGGCCTGGGCGTCAAAGGAAAGGCAAGCCAGAGGTTTCGAAGATATCATGCGTAAGGCAGAGGGCTAGGGGGGAGAAGCAAGGAAATAGTGATAAAACCGACACCTCGTCAAATATAGCTCACCTTCACTCCCATCCCCACAGTGCCCTTGATCTTCTGCCAACCCGACCCAGTGATTCTCCGAATCTTCTCGCGGATATTCTGCCTGCTTAGCGCCACGATAATGCCTAGCATGAATAAGAGCGTGCGAGCAATTGACAGAGGATTGCCAGCCACGGTCTTTGAGATGTACTGCAGAATATTGCGCAGCACATTTGCCAACGCTCGATTTGATCTGGCCGGCTTGTCGGTTTTCCTGACATTTTTTGACGACGCAGGAGGTGAAAATGCAGTGCGTCCTGAAGGAGTTGACTTGCTACCAGACGTTTTGTCCGTGGGCTTTCCCACTTTGGCTTTCGAAGCGCCATTGGGTCGGCTCTTTTCGATACCAGAATCGACCTTGCTATTATTGCGTCGGTGATTCTTTTGCTCCAAGCGTTCGGCTGCTGCTGCTTCTTCCGCTCGCCGACGATCTTCCCCACGCATTTGTCTCTCCAGCTCAGCGTCTTTCTCGCGCTGGAGCGCCGCTGCGCGCAGTTCTCCTTGTTCCTTCTCTTCCTTAATTCCCTCGAGGGTCTGTAGAAAGACATCTTTTCTTTCCTCGTCCAGGACCTCACTCATATTGATAAACTCTCTGGCATAGTCCCATTCCTCATTACGGGGAAGAACGTGAAGTGTGAAGAGCTCAATGATCGTAACCCGCGCTGCCAAATCTTTCGGAGTGTCAGTGCCGCCGTTCGGTCTGGAATGAGAATGTTGAGACGGAGAATTGCGCAGATGCTCTGCGATGTCCAGGTTGGGTTGGCCGTATGAGGACAGGTAGGTTTCAAGTCGTTGCTGGTTTAGCGATTGGGAAGCAGAGTGTTTCAACAAGAGGGTGGCTCTGTTAGTCATAGTAGTCAGTGTCAGTGCAGGAGATAATTGGTGGAGGCAGAAGCTTAACGGACAGATTATAGACGACCTCTGCATCGACAGACCCCTCCAACCCTCTGTAGCCAGTCTGAACTACAGTCTCCCAAATCTGCCCATCGCGCACCTGGGACGAGATGGACTTCCACTTCTTCTGACCGAATTGGTTTTTCCCTTCCTCAGGCCCCAATTCGACAATGGAACTCAAGAGAGTGATATATAGATTCCATACTTTGATTCTCCAAGTACTTTGAGCGGACGCTACAGGCGGCGTTGAGTCGTCACCGTTAACGTATCGCTCGTCATGAGGTTGCGCAACAGTTATAGCAGGTTCAAGAGCGGCCAAGGCCTCTGGCAACCGTCGTGTCAGATAGAGTTCCCGAGCATTCTTATATGTCTTTGAACAGAACTTCGAGGGAGACAGGGACGAGGTGGAGGATGAAAGTTGCGACTGAGACGTCGTCATGTACGATCCATCTTCGGCCATTGTTCACCGCCAGCGGAGAATGCGATCAGCGAGAAAGAATCAAGGTGAGGTCAGAAGGAATGGATAGTAATTGTGAGAAATTTCAACAATGGCGGCAGGAGTGATGAAGTCGGATAAGTATCATAAATTGAAGCTGTCGCAAGGATGCATGAAGCTTGTGAGTGGTAGTTGTTAGTCGCTAGACTCCGATTGAACCCAAGAGTTGGGGTTAACTGCTTTCCCTCGGCTCGGCCATTGCCTCAGTCTGGGGTCTCGCTGATGTCACGGGATGCGGATCCGTAAAACACGGAGTACTGCTCCGTATCATGATCTTACCTTGATTATCGAACTAACTATCAGGAGACTGATTGTTTCTAAACATTGCGACTGTAGAAAAAATATTCAACCATCACTGCTGCATCGAACATATCTCTGCGAGGACTCACCGATGATGAAGTACGCGGAGCTCACGAGACTTGCTTCATTACCTGTCGATCGGGGCAAGTGTTACTTCATTCGTCTTCCCACATGCTAGCTTCGATCAACATTCAGATTAAAATCAGTTGGATATATGCATCACTTGCTCCTGGGGCAACTTCTTTTTTTCTAATTGAACTCCTTTCATTGTTTCTAGCTGTTTTCGTCTCTCTCAGCTCTCGATCTCATATAGATCACTGCCAAAGCTCAGTGGACCACTGAGAAGATGGATGTAACAGCTCAAACATTCCCTTATCATCTTCCCCGGATCCTGGATGATCTGGCAACATGCTGCTTTGTATCAATGGACTTCGAATTTTCTGGGATCGCTACTACTTCTTCGAACCCAAACAGGGGATCCCAGACCCTCCAGGCTCGCTACGAAGAAGTGAAAAACTCAGCCGATAAATATCAGATCTTACAGGTTGGGCTGACAATCTGTCACGAGGATACCGAGAATGGTCAGATCTTCAGTTCTTGCCCTTCATCGTGGGTTCCGGCTATTGACTTGGACCTTCGACAGCTTCGTATACTTTGAAACCCTACAACGTAAACTTGAATCCGATTATCGACCGGAGACTAGAGGTGGAGAGAGGCTGGTCCATGCAAAGCAGCGGTATGTCCAGTCGATTGCCGCCTTAGTTACAGACATAGAAACCTGAACAAATCTGCCCAGCTATTGAGTTCCTACTCGAGAACAAGTTCAGCATCGACTCCATCTTGAAACAGGGTGTCCAATACCTGTCTCGGGAGGAAGAAAAACAAGCTATTGCCAACGCCATCGAAAGACGTGACCGCGTCGCAACACACACTTCGATCGACGTCAAAGAGACTGAACACGAGTCGTTAGCCTTCCTAAAAGCCGTTCGCCGTCTCGTAGATGACTGGCTTGCACTGGGAGCCGTAAGATAACCATCACTGGGTTCTTTGAGGAAGCTAATCATTGTACCAGACACGCGAAGAGTACCTGAACATCCCACCGCCAACCCGCCTTGGTGTTTCTCGATCATCCAAGTCTCTGCCCTCGGCCTTGAACAGGTTTCAGAAGAGGCTTGTTCACCAGTTGATAGAGGTGGAATATCCTTCATTGGTGACAATCAGCAGACCCGATTTCATCCAAATCATCGATTACAACGAGGAACGTGAGAGATCAGTCCGCGAGCAAAGAGTGACGAGGGTACGGGAGCGCACCTGGAAGCAGACAGGCTTTAGGTGGGTAGCTGAGGCTTTAGCTGGAGGAGATCTTACCAATCTGGATTCCGGGTACTTCATTGGTATCATGGCGAGCTCCGCCGCTGTAGAACCCAAATACCCTCTCAACGAGTTCTCAGACAAACTCAAGCAGCGATTGAAAGAGCATAGGCCTGTTCTTGTTGGCCATAACCTTTTCTCAGATCTTATCTACTTTTGCCGTTGCTTTTTTGGGCCTCTTCCAAGCAAAGTGGAAGAGTTCCAGTCGATGGCGCACGAATTGTTTCCGGTTTTGATGGACACCAAATACATGGCCACACATAACTGTGGTTCCATCAATCCCAGGTCGTCACTCTCAGAGCTCAACGAAAACTTGGCTAAGAAAGCATTTCCGAAAATCAGTGCGCATGACTTCCTTGATCGTCCGCTTGAATTGATGGCTAAGAAAGACAACAGGCATACACCCGCAACATTCCAAGTATACTACTCAGAAGATTGAACATGAAGCAGGCTACGATAGCTTGCTAACTGCCCAAGTTTTTATCAGGCTATCTGCTCAGCTCCGCGAGGGAGGGGTAGAACTACCGCAACAGAAGTCCACTAAGGATGCTCAGGACACCTCGAACCTCCAGCAAACGTATCAGGAGGTTGCATCCGATGCCTATGCTGAGGGCAGATTGCAAACAACATCTGGAAGCGCACACAAGACTTTTGAGCAGAAGTCAAGACCAAGCAGCACAGAATCTCCCAAAGCGCCAATGACCAGAGTCCTCGGGACCAGATTTGATCTACTAGAGATTGAAGAGGCCATGGATGAAGTCGACAGTAATATACCTATCGATGACCGTAGATTGTCATTGGGTCCTACCGATTCTGTGGAGGTCATGCAGAAGGCTGCTAATGGCGAGCTCATCCCTCGACTGGGAGCGGAGTTCTGGAAAGTATACGGGAACAAGTTGCGAGTCTTTGGCACATTGGAAAGAGTTTGCGTGATGGGAGCGTCGTGAATTCCAGGCACCGGTACAGGTCCAACTACGCGCAGCTCAAAGCTCTCTTGATTGTACACAGATATGTCATCGATTGGTAACAAGAACAACCGCGAGGGCGTCACCATACCAAAGCATAGTGGATTACAATGACCCAAAATTGGCAGTGTAGCAGAATGTACGCAGCGTCTATCTAACAGTACACCTTGATTTAAAGAAGGTACCGCTAGCGAAAAAAGGCCGCCTACTCTCTCTGAGCACCACTAAATGATCGACTGGTTGTAGAAGAATCATAACGCAGTTGACGATAAGGAAAAGGTGCTGTGAGAGAAAAGAAAGAAACAGGAGAGACGGAGGACGAAAAATGAGAAAGAAAAAGGCTTAGGTCACCTGACCTTCTAGCCTGTGCAGGTCTAGCGTGGTTCGGCGGGAGACAGGTGACCGCCAACTTTTCTTTAACAATTATCGGGGACGGACTGTGTTGACGAGGACAGAGTCCAGTGGTTGCATTGTAAAAATGTCTTCAGGACCCAATGGCGCCAGGCGCATAGCGTCCGTGTTGAGTACGCAAAAAGCAACTTGTCTGTACATTGTCTAAGTCGTTTTCTGACTTCTTTTCAGGGCCTTCAATAGTCGACTCCCGAGTCTGCAGAAGCTGTCAAGAGACACTCGTTCGCCGCAATTATGCCTCCACTGCTGCGCCTAGTTCAGCTTCAGAAACCATTTCAACTCCTGCCTCTACGTTTCCCGTCGTCAGACCTACACACATCATCAAGGCCGGCGTGGCCCTATCCCGTCCTCCGCAAATCACCCGCGATCTCACACCGTTCGAAAAGGCGTACTTCTTCTACCAGAAACGGCTGAACGAGCGACTGGCACTCCCATTTACAAAATACTTCTATTTCAAGCGGGGTACCCCGGCCGATGAGGACTGGAAGCGTAAGATTCGGGAGCGTCAGACGCCTGCACGCGACATCGGCAAGTATAACGCGTACTCGAAGGAAGCATGGAACGACGAATTGCTCGTCGGAGCTGTCGAGTCCGAACCAGAGCATCAGATTGAGATGCTTGTGCGGGATGCAGAGGCTACTGTCAATGCTACTTCTCAAGATACCAGCAAGAAAGAGGAGATTCCCAGACCGTTCCCCCGAGTGACGGAGGCGGACCAGAAGAACGACCAGAGGAGCCTGAACCGGGCTCTGCAGAGAACCCTCTATCTTCTTGTCCAGACTAAGGAGGGATTCTGGAAACTCCCCAGTTCGCCGGTCGAGACGGGGGAGTCCCTTCGCGTGGTGAGTAGTGTTTGAAATCGAGCGCATGACCATTCTGGGGTACTAATTGATCGTCTGCACAGGCCGCTGAACGTACCCTGGAACAATCTGCTGGTGTGAACATGAACACCTGGATGGTTGGCTATCACCCTGTTGGCCACCACGTCTACAACTTCCGACACCCCAAGACCGACCCCGCAACTGGCCAACAATGGTTCGGCGAGAAGACATTCTTCATGAAGGGTCGTATCATGGCCGGACAGGCTGACCTGTCCGCCAACGTGCAGGACCTGCAGGACTTCAAGTGGCTGGCTAAGGAGGAGATTGCCAAATTCGTGCTCCCCCAGTACTACAGCAACATCAAGAACATGCTGGCTGAGCGGTAAATGCCTAGGTTCGAAGTACACAGAATCCGTCTATCGCATTTATGATACTCTTTACTGTTGGCTTGACTGGAGGAGGATTTGTATCGATAGAGCTGTTGCGCACCATTTCCTTTGGGTTGAGGGTGACCGTTTCCACTTATAGGTCACTGAATTGCATATACTGCTGTAGTATGAAATGTATAACTAGCTTTCTGAATTTCAATCATTTTTCAGCTTCATGGTCCCAGTTCCTTTGGAGTATTAATAAAATCAACCCAAACGCCACGCCTAACATCTATCCCAAGTAAACCAAGCTGAAGAACGGACACTAAAACACTCTGCATCACTTCAAGTTGAACTTCTGCCCCTGGACCACGGGCTGGTCCTTTGCAGTTTTCCCAGCCAGACTCTTCCCACACATCGGACAAGCTATCGGTCCCATCAGCAACTGCTTCAGCACAGATCAACCCAGGAAACCAAAGATAAAGAACTTACCATTCTTCTGATAGGCACACCGCTGACAATACTTCCGCCCCTGCTCCGTCTTGGTCTTGCACAACTCACAAGACGAGGAGTACGCCGCATATGGATTCTTGGCCTTGGAGCTGAGCAGTTTACTCTATGCTTCATTAGTTTGATCACTTAGATAGCACTGCTCCTCAGAAAGAGATAGAACATACCTTTCCAATACCGGTATTCCCCAACGTCGGTTTCGATTTCGTAGCAGGGCCAGCTCCAGCTCCGCCACCACCGCCTAGGGTCGTCGCAGGCGAGCCATAGTACATTTCACTCTTGCGTTTGACGCCTGGGGTGACCAGTTCCGTGGACCTGAGTTTCTTTTGGCATTTTGCGCAGACCATGGTTTTTTTTTTTGTGTGGCCTATTTCCTTTTTCGTGTTCGTGGTTGTTAGGTTCTGATGGTTGTTGCTTCTGTTTGAAGAGTCCGTCGGTTGGGTGGCACTTATTTGGGCTTGATGTCAGGGTGGAGACTTGGTGGGTGGCACTGACTTATAATGCACCCTGCGGGGTTGGTTTGTGCGGATTACTGTAGTGGGTATAAAGAGGTACAAGTTATTGAGAATGCAAGGTCTTTAAGATTATTCTATTATATGCATAGCGTGCGTTTCGTAAAGACTGAGACAGGGTATGTCGGATTCATCGCTCAATATCACAGAGACCTGGAAACTCAACCCGAAAAATATCCAACGCAATTGGTATCATCAAATAGGATAGGAAAGTTATTCTTGCGGAAAAAAGTCGACTGATCTATTAATATCCCTCCTTTCACGCGTGAGGATGGTGTTGGTATTGTTGGTTAGATGGGAGCCCATGCGATCCAGCATCGCTCTCACTGTGGAGCTCTGCTGGAGGAAATTGTCCGTTGCCGTTCGCGGGGTTCGAGTAACCATTGACGGGGCTCAAGCCACCATTCACAGGGCTCGAGTAGCCGGAATGTGCTGAATGGCTAGGAGGCTGTGGTGACGGCGGTTGATATGGCTGGTATGAGGACATAGGAGCGTAAGGGCCTGGAGGGGGAGGAGGAAGAGTCTGAGCATACTGAGCATGCTGGGCATATGGGGCATGCTGGACGTTTTGAGCATGCTCTTGAGAATAGATCTTGCTGGCCTTGCACCATTGGATACAGCAGAATATGAGGCCAAAGTATATGCCGATTGTGCAGAAGAAGGAGACGATTGAGGTGGCCAAGCTCAAATACGGCGGCGGCATCTTCGATTCGAAATTGTACATGATTGTCACGATCAGCTGCTCGAGGTTAAGCACAAAGAGGAAGAAACCTGCCAAAGCAAGGGTTATAGATCCGGTCTGATCAAAGGCTATTAGCGAACAGGCACAAAGTTAGACGACAAGTCGGCTCATACCTTGCTGCTAAATCTCGACTTCGCAATGATGAAGATTGTCCACACGAGAATCTCCAGAGACATCAGCCATGAGACGATGATGCGAGCCTCAACAATCCTGTTGTAGTGTCCGACTATTTGCCGTTGGCTGCTTCCGTTCACCTCCATGACGAGGAAAGCAATATACATGGCTGCATTGACCACCATGAGAATCCCCAAAACACCCAGGAGAACCCAGTGCAGTATGGACACGGGAAGGAATGTCTTGCCGCCGTTCGCAATTCGGTTGAGATATGCTTGGATGACTCGATAGAAGACGTAGAACATGAGAAACATGGCCAGAAGCCAGAATATCGTTTGGAGCATTAGCATGACAACATAGCTCTGCTTCACTGTGACCTCGCAAATATAGAAGAACATGTAAGGGATTACAAGGAGCTCGGAGCTAGAGGAGAAAGTTAGAACTTGGGTTCGGCTTCTTGATTTATCTTCCTTTGCGACAGAGAATCGGTCATTCTACTCACAGGATATAGCTCAATATCCCGAAGACAAGAGTCTTCTTAGGGAGAGTCTTGGGTAGCGCCTTAGGCTGTCTGATGAAAAAACAGCCAAAAAGGAAGAGAAATAGCACTCCCAATGTGAGGAACTCGAACGCGAGCTGCGCAACGAAGTACGATCTGCGTCCATACACGCTGTACATCGAAAATGTAACCTCTTCGTTCCATGGCGAGTCGTTATAACTAGAGTAAGAATAACCACTGGACGAGCCGCTCCTAGACTTTCGTGGTAACAACATTATGAGTTTCGACACACGCTCCTTTTTGAGGACAACCTCCCAAGTCAGGTTGTGGACAATTGTTGGAGGATGCGGCACAGAAACAGCGACGGGGCCTCATTTTCAAGTGTTCAGATAGGAGTTGGGCTCAAAAAGTATGCTATTTTGTGGCTTGCGATGGTTTCTGTTAGCGACGAGCATGATGAACAGCTGGAGGCTCAGCCTTGGGGATACGAGGTGCTGGGGGGCTAAGCACAACCGTTTATTGGGCCATGGAGAGCATGAATTCGCAAAATACCTCAACACAATCACGCTTGGGTTGATTCGGGTCTAGTTTAGCGACTTTACGGACATGTTTGGCCAAATTTAACAAGTCTTTCCCGAATCAGCCTCGTTCGAAGGTTTTTTTTTTTTTGCTTGGCGGATAGTAAGGCGCTCAGAAGTCTCCAGGAGACTAGGAGCTAAGAGTCAGACGAGTCATTGCCAGGCACGCTCGTCATCCCATGAGTCCGACAACAGTCATTGTTGATATGAGAGACGAATAGAAAACTGGTTGATGCTATTCGTCGATTATAAGTTGACTTCAATACCTCTGAATCTCTATTGGTCTTGGAGCGCCCCCGTCTCAATCTCCCATCTCCCTCAAAAGGCTTCTACTGGCTAACTTAACGTTTTCACCCGATATAAATCATGAATCCGGGATCCACTAGGGAAGACCCTCATATTTGGAGTCCCATGCTGTTATTACTGGAACAGCGTGCAAGAATTGTGAATTCCTGAGTGGTGTATCAATTAAGGCTGTGCTCAAGTACTCCGAGATCGGCATGTAGTTTAGTCCCTTTGTTAACAGTGAGGGGACTGATTTCTCGTTCTGCTGTAGCGATATATATGCGGCACGAGTGTCGGACTCCTGGTCGGTCATGAGATTGCATGCCCGCAGGGTAAGCAAGTCAATGCATTTCAAGGATCAACTCCCTGCCTCTTTAAATCTGACTGCACGTGCTCTGGAGAACATCAAAGCTTGAGTCCGCGCATATATCTCGCCTCCGTGAAGCGCGTTTTCTGAATCATCTCTGAGAGACAGAATACATCACTGTAGCATGCGTATTAGTTGAAGCGGCCTGGACGTGTTGCTATAACCACAAAAATGATCCAGATAAATAGAAGGCCGTTAGTAGCTATTTTAGCATAAATCGGACACAGGTAGCCGTTCAGTCTTCCGGGTGCTCATCTGTGTGCTGAGAGCAACCGAGACTAGCAAGCCCGCGACAGGTTGAGGAAGACACACAGCTAGATTTTCAAAGACTGGACACCCTTGATGAGAAGACGAGGACTCCGATTGCTAGATACACGGATCCGCTCTTGTGGTTAAATGCTTCATTGTCCTCCAATCTCGATTGTGATCTGGTGTACTCGTCAACTGTTTGCTTTGATTGCTCGGAAAAGCATGCTTATGTTCATCGTTCCAATTGAGGTTTCGTGCATGATTTGACAAGTTTGATCCTTGTACTCGCTCATTCACAGGCATGTTCCTAGAAGGAGAGATGTAAGCATGCAGGACAAGCCACAGAAAGTGTCCCCTTGGCAATGGCTGTGCTTCAGTGATGGCGATGACGAGGTAGAAGGAATGGTTGAAAAATTCGACCGTCACCTGTGGCGTAAGACATCATGGTAAACAATCAGTCTGACTTCAGCTCTGCGCAGATAGACACGATATATCGCCAACTCCGAGTGGCAGAGGGTTGTGTTGGCAGTGGCGAAATAAATAAATAGGAACTAACACCCTCCACACTTAACACCTGCCACTAGATTTCCTTCTCTTCTCTCAGCTTGTGCCATAAGGTCCATAAACTGGACCACTCCCTGGCTGTTTTACTTTTTCAGCTGTTCAGGATCAGACCGTTCACTCCACAACTTATCACTTGCGTAAATCTGCTGGGCTGTTTGCTGTCCCAAGAACTGTAGCATGAACCGCCACTTGTGAACCGCGTTGCAGCAACTGAACGGCAGAACTACACATGATGGCAAATCAGCATCTATAGAAACACTCACACTCGAGTTTGTATCAAAATCTGAGGCGTGAATGGAACCAAAAAAGTGCTGGATAATAGCACCCGACATGTCGGGACCAACCAAGCAATGGTTTCTTGTACCCAGTTAAAGGGGGCGAGAAAGAGGGCATCTCCCCCGACACTATAAGTTGGCTATTCTCTGCATTTCGCGTTTCCATGATGACTCGCGTTGGATATCTGGGAATCATCCATCATCTGCTAACAGACGTTCGAATTGTCGCGAGCCTCTGGCAAACATCGCGTTGCGAATCAAGGTTACTATTGAGAACTTGAGGTTCATCTTTGCGTTGGATTCTGACTCCTTGCGCGAGTTGTATCGTACTGTCGAGTACACAACCTCAGTATTTTGTCTTCGTTCGTTCGGCATCCAAGAGGCCTGTTCGGTCCATCTTGCTTTTCCTCGAAGTGTCTCTTTACTTTTTCTAGCTTGATTGCTTCATTGCGCCCAGACTGGGTAAGTCTGCACTCTTTGTTCAACACCTGTCTTGATCTTCACTTTCACATATACCATTGGGATCCTTGACCCGCATCGACTCGCGGCATGGGATGGCCCCGTGGAGAGAGAAGTATAGCTCCCTTGCTTCTTGCTGTGATGAGAGATTTACTCTTTTTTTCCAAGATAATGCGATCATCCTTTGTCTTCTCTCTCTTCGTGTTTTTCTGCCCATCACTGTCTTACTTGTATTCAGAACGACTTCCAGGCTATTGCAGTTTGAAAACTCATATTAGGCAGGAATTTCCATGCAGATTCGACGCTTGCATTGAGCGACTGCGAGTAAAACGCTCACAAGGCAATCTTCCCTAATCTGAAACACTTTCGCGCAGGCAGGCAGCTCGCACAATGCCTCCTCATGGTTCTTCGTTTAGTACGTTGAATTTGCCCTCAACATTCTCACTACCGGAGTGTATGGAATATTTTACTCTTACTGCCGGTCCTAACACGGATCTCTGGCGGAAGCCGCCCAACGGAGACACTGCTACGGCACCTATTGTTTTTACCTCGTTACGAAACCCTTTCGTAGTCGCCGAAGTCACTGTGAGTGCGGACTGGGAGATGGAATCAGATCAAGGCGGCATCGTTGTTTTCGCCGGAGCCGCACCTCAATCCTTCTCCTCAGAGAATGTGCCAATATCACCAGTGACGCCTTTTATTCGTCACGAAATATCCCGGTCTCTGCGGCCGTGCAGATGGGTCAAAGCTGGCATGGAATTCTGCTCGGGGACAGTGAACGCATCCTCAGTCAGTGCAACGGCTGACGGAGCTGACTGGTGTGTCTCGCCCCTCTGTCTGCCTGACAATGGACCGACGACTGTGCATTCTCTGCGGATCAAGTTCGAGCGCGTTGGTCATTCACTTGTGGTCTGGTATCAGATTCCAACACTGTCCCCATTTGCAAGGACGCCGGGTGCTGTGGGCAGCACGTGGAAGAAGCTACGAGAAGTGACATGGTTCTTCTACGGGGTAGAAGACAAGTTTGTCCATGTGGGTGTGTATGCTAGCCGGCCGGCCAATATCTCGCGTAATAGCACCGTGTGGGCGATGATGAACGGTCCGATGCTGGGCAGCAGCGCCACGGCCGGCTCTGAGGAAGGGTTGGTGGTGGAATTCGAAGATTTGGAGATATATTGACGTCTGTTTGTTTTTTGCTCTCGAATAGCTTTTCAGATACCTTCGTCCTAATCTCTTTCTGTTTATGTGATAGCAGCCTGCAGTTCTTTTGCGTTGATTTTCTCAGGCCTCCGGTCACGGTTTTATGAGCTGTTAAAGGTGTGCATCTGTGTTTCTTAGATGTCTTGTAATTGAATTCTGTTCCAACGACCTAATTTGCATGATGGAACATCTCGTCGCTGTCCTGATGAACATTGGTTAGTCTCTTTGTGGTTTCTGCTATGACTTCATTGCATTGCTCTCTAAAATTGAGGTAAATGAAAGCTTAACATGGTTCAGAAGATGTCAACCTTTCTACGTATTATATTCTTAAGGGTGTTGGAGAGCTGCATTCTCTGTTTAGTCCGCACCCTATTTTCTACCAAAAGTCAACACCTGCAGCATGTACGCGAAGATCGACAGCGCTAGAGCAACCAAGATTGCTGTTGAGGTCATGAGTTATCTACCAGAAAATAATAGATAGGCAGTGCCATCCCGAGAAATATAGAGTCTCTCACTTCAACCGACCAAGTACGGAGTCAGCCACTCTGCACTCCACGGGTAGTTGTGAGTAAGAAGGCTACACGGACCACTCTGTCGGTAGGACAAATAACCGAGGGAGCCGTTCCATGGCTCGTGAGAAATCCACGACCAGGACAGTATCGAAGCCCACAAGCGAAAAATAGCAACAAGGATAAAGGAGACAGGAGGTGATGAGACTATAAGATGTTGGCTGGAAGTTTGACCCGCAAAGACACCCCTTTATTCGTAAGAGCACATAGATACAATGGAGTATTTTGATCGCAACTGAGTCTGGAGGAAGACGAGGGTTTCATGCTCTAGTGTTGCATTGCATATGCCTTACTGAAGTTGCTTTCCGCGAACCATGGTTTACTATCGTAGGGTAAGGTGGTTCAGGGACTGGTCGAATCAAATCTTTCCATGCTTGACTTCAAAGATCCTTGGATAATAACTGGACTCTCGCATTTTTGAATGGTAAGAAATAATAGCACGAAATTATCTCATGACATGACGGGCGACGGCGTAAACGGAGAGGGTCCTTCAAATGACTAGCAGTACGGAGTACAGATGGGACTGTACTCCGTATGGCGCCACACACTATTATTTTGCTGATACCGAATCCACTCATGCCTCTCCTTTTCTTGAATGCAGAGATTTCTGATCCTTGGATTCGATCATTGTGCACAACATGCCGTAGTGAAATTCTGTGCAGGTCATGCTGAGATTGAGAACCAGACAAGAGTACAGCTAAGAAGCAGGAAATGATACAAAGCAACTTGATCTTCTCAACTTGGAGCATGTAAAAAAATATTACCAGGGATATGATTGGCAGCAGGGAAGCCGCCAACTCACCGCATTTTGTGCTCTGGCGCCAGTCCCGAGCCTTCATGGTTTAGTCTACACTCTACCTTAAGGATCTGCGCAAAATTATCAGTAACCTACGTACCTGGGAAAGTTTGTATGGATACAGAATCATGCTACCTTTGGTATCATCATCGTTCATTGAAGCTGGCGATGACTCTATGTCTGCTGCCGATCTCTGAAAGAATGCAAGTCAGTCAGGATCCAATTCAAGATGTTCCCATTCCGTGTCTTCCTTATCCCCTATCTAGTCTATATAGCTACAGCTCCATGACTGGTATCAAAATCACCTCGAAAAAGCCACTAGCTCGAACTGGCAGCACCCAAATCACGGGCGGGGGCCTGATCACTGTGACAACTGCTGGTGCCCCGCTAACTAAGTAGATAGTAAGTAACTAACGGCCAGAGCTATGCCACTTTCTTTGGCACTATGCCCGAGTCGTGAGGGCTTCTAACCGTCTTTGACATACAGCTTACACTTTGACGACTCCATCCGACCTTTGGCTTCCGTGGGCACCACATATTTTTTTTTTCTTCCTTGTGAATCACCTGCACTCCGGCTCCTAGCTCCTCCTCCTCATCCATCGGTCTCCTCGAGTTGATCTCCTCATCTGACTCCCCTCGATTGTTTGTTTTCGCAGTCTCCCAACTACCTTAAGTTTTCCTTATCGGACCAATCTACGCTTGGTCATACAACCCCTCTGACGATACCTCTCACAACCTCCCACCGTTCCATATTCCTGTCTACTTGTTCATTTTGAGAGGTTTCTGTCCGATTCGACTACCGCCTTCCTGTATACTATTTCATCTCTTGCTGTTTGAGGGGTACTTCGTTCAATCGTTGGAGACTCGATTCGATAAAGACCTTTGCTTTCCAGTCCTGTTCGCGTTTGACCTCTTTCCTGTTTTGTTTGTCTGTGATACCTTACGACTGTTACGACCTTTATGACCATAATGGCTCTCACCAATGGAGAGACCGTCACTATTTCCATCCGTCGTCCAACTGAGACCCCCGCCATCTACGTTGCGGGGACCTTCTCGAATCCCAAATGGGAGCCCTTGGAGCTCAGCGCCAAACCTGTAGAGCACAAGGATGCGGACGGGAACTCCACTAAGACCGAATACCTCTTCTCCAGAGATGTTGAATTGCCCGAGGGTCAATACCAGTATCGGTTCAGGGAGGGTACCGACGGTCCGTGGTTCCATGATAAGGATGTGAAGCATGGTACGAAACTTAATCTCTGTGTCGGGTACTGTTGACTTGGAGCTGACCATTTCTGTGATTGCAGCTGCCGACGACGAAGGCGTCGTCAACAATATCCTCACTGTTGGTTCGAGTTCATCCGCTGCGGCGCCTGTTGCTGCGGAAGCTAAGGCTGTCGAGAAGGAAACCGAAACTCCTCTTGAGAATGGCACCAGCGAGAAGGCCGAGGAGATCGCGAAAGAGTCCGAGGTGCAAACCACAACGACGACCGAGGCGGTGAAGGATGAAGTGCCAAAGGAGACTGATATCCCTGTGGTTGTTGAGAAAGTTCCGCACGCTGAGTCGGAACCCACGACACAGGAGGTGAAGCCGGAGCTTGTTTCCGAGATATCCAAGTCGAGCGATATCCAGGAGGACGCCGAAACACAACCTGCCTCTATCGCAGCCGCAGAACCTAAGACCAACGGCACACATTCTACTGAGCAGATTTCTGGATCACAACCTGATGATGCTGTTGCGGAGAAGGCGGAGCCAGTGGAAGAGAAGGCAGCTGAGGCTTCTTTGACAACTACAAAAGACGCCAAGGAAAACAAGCCTGAAGAGATTCCCAGCACTTCACCTGAGGCCGAGAAGCCTGAGACAAAGGAGGTCGAGAAGGCTGAGGATCAGAAGCCGCAGGATGTTGAAATCGTTCCTGCTGCAGTTGAAGAGAAGGCGGAAGCCGCTAAAGAATCAGAAGTGCCAGAGTCTGCCCTCGAAAAGTCTCGGGAAGAAGCTGCGCCCGCGCAACCAGTTACGGAGGAAGTGCCTGTTGTGGAATCTAACCTAGTGGAGCCATCTTCAGCCGAACCGACAAAGGCCGAGAATGCCCCTACAGAGACAGCCACTGATGAGGCGCCACTTGCCGAGAAATCCTCCGAGAAAACAGTGCCTGCGGGGCCTATCGCTGAAGAGAAGGTTCAAACGACCATCGGGGATGAGTCACCCTCTCTGAACAACGTGGAGGAACAGCCAGCACAGGAGTCTGTCGAGGCGAAGAAGGCGGCCGAGGAGCCAGCCGAGGCTTCCGGTGTCGAGCACTCGGCTACCGACGAAGCCGCTGTTGAGAAACCGATCAAGGAATCCGCCCCTGAGGAGATTCCTGAAGATTCTAAGAATGAAGTTGCTGCAGAGGCCCCCGTCGCGGAGGCATCGACGACTGAGAAGGACGAAGAGACCTCCCCTGACGCTGAGAAGGAGCCAGCTGTTGAGGGATCTGCCAAGGAACCAATCCATGAGGAGATTTCTGAAGATTCCAAGAAGGAAGTTGCTGCAGAGACCCCAGTCGCGGAGTCATCGACAACTGAGAAGGTCGAAGAGACCTCCCCTGACGCTCAGAAGGAGCCAGCTGCTGAGGAATCTGCCAAGGAACCGATCCACGAGGAACAGAAAACCGAGACGGCTGTTGCCGAAGAACCGGCTAAGGAGACACTGGTCGAGGCAGTTCCTGCAGAGGAGCCTGAGGTGAAATCTGCCGAACAGCCTGCCGTCGCCGAAGAGTCTGCCAAGGAGACTGTCGCCGAGCAGCCACCTGTTGAGATTGCTTCCACAGAGGATTCAGCACCTACTGCGGAAGTGACAGCCGCCAAGGAACCCGAGGCGCAGGCAACGGAGGAGCCAGCCGCTAATGAATCCATCAACAAAGAGGTTGAGGCACCAACGGAAGAGCCTACTGCTGCCCAAGAGTCCGCCAAGGAGCCTATCAGCGATGAGCCAGCAATCCATGCGCCTCAGGCCGAAGAATCAACAAAGGAACCCTCTACCGAATTGGCAGCCGCAGAAGAAATCACCGGCAAGGAGGCTGAGACACATACGGAGGTGTCTACCGCTGCTGAAGGACCTGCCAAGGAACTTGTCAATGATGAGCCTGCTGTAAAATCTGCCCCAACCGAGGAGACCGAGGAACCAGCTAAGGACGATACCACTCAAGTGGTAGCCGCCAAGGAACCTGAGCCACAGGGAGCCGAAGAAGCTGCTGTTGAGGAGACACCTGCCACAAATCTCGAAGCACCAACGGAAGAGTCCACTACTGCAGAGGAGCCCGCTAAGGACCCAGGCAGCGAGGAAACGCCGAATCAAACTCTTCCTGCCGCGGAGCCTTCCATGGAAGCCAAAGCTGAAGAGGGTGCAAAAGAAGAGTCCACAACCGAAACAGCGCCAGAACCCGCTGTTGTCGAAGCAGATGTTAAGGGACCTGTTCAAGATGAAGCTGCGACTGAAACTCTGGCTGAGGACAAGCCGGTCACCCAGGAGTCTGTTGCTGAAGCGGCTCCCAAACCATCGGAAGTGAGCGAACCAGTAGTCGCAGAAGTTACCGCTGAAACTCCTGCGGTTGAAGAGGCTGCGTCGAGCGAAAAGCCTGCGGTAGTGTCCGAGACTGAAGAGCCAGGGGTTGAGGAACACCCCGTTACCCAGGAACCCGCAAAGGAGTCCGAGGCTGAAGCAAGCGAGAAAAAGGCTGCTGAGTCCAAGGACGAAGCTCCTGTTGCTCCCGAGGCGCCAGAGGCACCGGCTGCTGAGACGGCCGTTCCTGAGCCTGCGAGCGAATCTCCCGAAGTCGAAGCTGTAGCTAAAGAGCCGGCCACTGTTGAACCGCCCCAAGGACCCACCACGACCACCGGAGAGCAAGCTAAGGAAAAGGTGGCCATCAACGAGCCCACCGAAGCTACTGCTACCGAGGAAGCAGTTCCTGCGGAAGTATCTGAGGTAAAGGGAGAAATTGAAGAACCTGTTGCCGCTACTGAGAAGTCCGAATTGCCCGCCGACGAGCCTACTCTCTGCAAGGACTGCGGTCCCGAGGAGACTACAACTGAGGAAGCCGCTGCCCAGGAGACCAAGGCCAGCGACGAGGCTGTTGAAGAAACCAAGGCCACTGAAGTGACTATCGAAGACCCAACTGCGGCAGAGACAACTGAATCCGCACCGGTTGAGGAGGCAGTTGAGCCAGAGACAGTGAAGGAACCCGAAGCGGTGGCACCGGTTGCTGAAGAACCTGTTGAAACCGTGGTCGCTCAAAAAGACGCTACTGAGAAGAAGCCCGCTGAAGAGACAGTCTCTAAGGACGTGACAGCAGAGGAACCCTCTGTTGCTGAGGAAGTAGTTCCTTCGAAGCCCGCGACGGAGGAACCAGTCTCAGAGCCGCAGACCAGTGAGGCGACTGAACCTGCTGAGCCGGAAGCCAGCACTCAGGCACCTGCTCAAGATGAAGTTGCCGAGGTGGCAGCGACTGAAGAACAGCAGGAAGATGTGACCACCGACAAGGAAGCCCCTAAGGAATCAGTGGCTGAGAGCGTTGTCGAGGAGACTGCACCGGTAGAACCTACTGTGCCCGAAGCGGCTGTCGCCACCCGTGCTGTTGATGAACCTACAAAGAATGAGAGTCCCAAAGATGTAGTGTCTGAAGAGCCCTCTCAGGAGTCGACTTCCGAGGAACCAGCTGTCCAGGAGGCCGCCACTGAAGCGGTTACTGCTAGCGCCTCGGCCGATCAGCCTGCTTTGGAGAAGCAAGTCGAAGCCCCGGCTACGGTCGAGGAACCCCAAGAAGATGAGAAACCCGCGGAACAGCCCGCAGTCAGCGAGCCACAAGAGGAGCTCGCAGCAGAGCAGGTCCCCACCAAGGACGTTACTGAGGACCCAGTCGCTGAAGAAGCGGCCAAGCACACAGAGGAGACAGTGGCCACTGAGCCGGTGGTTGAATCTGCTGTCGAGCCGGTCGTCGAACCCACCACTGAGCCCGTCGAGTCTGTCGCTGAGCCGGTTGAGTCTGTCGAGCCTGCTGCTGAGCCTGTTACTGAGCCCGTTGCGGAGCCCGTTGCGGAGCCCGTTGCTGAGCCCGTTGCTGAGCCTGTCACTGAACCGGTTACTGAGCCTGTTACTGAGCCCGTCGCCGAGCCCGTCGCCGAGCCCGTCGCCGAGCCCGTCGCTGAGCCCGTCGCTGAGCCCGTCGCTGAGCCCGTCGCTGAGCCCGTCGCTGAGCCCGTCGCTGAGCCCGTCGCTGAGCCCGTCGCTGAGCCCGTCGCTGAGCCCGTCGCTGAGCCCGTCGCTGAGCCCGTCGCTGAGCCCACCATCGCACCCGCGACTGAAAAGCAAAGCGAGGCTCAAGAGGTTGAAGTGACTACCGACGAAGCGAAGCCTGAGGCCGTCAAGGAAGATTCTGCTGAGACAGCAGTAGAACCTGAGGTCAATGGCGTGGTCAGCAACGGTGGAGAGGTAGACCAACCTCCAACTGGTGAAAAGGAGGCCGCTAAGGTCGAATCCGAACCAGTAGCCTCCGAGGAACCCAAGGCTGAAGAGCCGGCCCCTACTTCCAATGGTGACTCTTCGGTTGAGAAAGACGTCGATCCTTTCGCTCAGCCTCCAGTTCAGGATGCCACCCCCGAGCCCACCGTGGAGGCCGCCAAGGACTCAGAAGAGAAAGACTCGATTGTGACTCCTGAGCTCGTTGGAGCTGGTGCTGCAGCTGCCATCGCTACCGGTGCTGTTGTTGCTGGAGTCGTTTCCAGGTCTCACAAAGAGCCTGAAGTCGTTGCTACACCTAAGGACGATGTGAACACCAAGGAACAGTCTCGGCCTAATGACGACAAGCAGGAAACTTCCCACCTCGTACCTGCACCCCAGATCGCCGAATCCTCCACTTCGAAGGACATGCCCACACCCGAGCCTGAAAGTGATCCTGCTCTCGCAGCACTTGCTGGCGACCGCGAAGCTCTGCTCCGAAAGCTGGAATTGCCATCCACAGAACAGTTGCCTGCCGAACCTACTTCGTCCACCAAGGATAACCAGGCTGTGAAGCCAGCCGGTCACGACGAGCACGCTCCTGCGTCTACTGACGGCCCCTCCGTCGCGAGCGAGTCTCCTGCTCCTACTGAGAGCGATGCCGGCAAGGCAGTTGCTCCCAAGAACAACGAGGAGTCTCGTTCTCCCAGTCAAAATCGGTCAGTCACTGCTGTTTCCTTGAACCATAAGCGAGACAGCTGGTTGAGGACTATTTTGCGTGCCGTCTTCGGCAATTTCTTTGGCGCCATCTTCTCGCCCTTCCGCCGTCGTGGAAGGACGAACCAGTAGATGGTTGCTCCTACCGCTTGTCCAAGAAATTATTCTGCTCTACAGAGTCTCTGAACTCCAGGAGTGATCAAATAATCAATCGCTTAATCATTGTCAGTGCCAAAGCTAATGAGATTCAGGAATCTGTTCTTGATGACCGTTTTCGCTGCACCCTTGCTGGCTATTATTTGGCGTGCATATACCCGATAAGTCTGAATCTGTTGAAAAATTGATTATCGCCGCTCATTTTTTACTCGACTCGATTCCCCTGTATTTGATATTTGTGAAGTTTTCGCTCTCGATTTGTTAATATTATCTCCCTTACTCTACTCTCTAACTGTCGCAACTCTCTCACAACCTTGGAAGGCTGTCTGACCTTGGTAACAATCGATATGACTGGCCGGAAGTTTGCGGTTGATGTGATCGTCTGCCAGTGTGTAATGATGTTTATGTTTGATGATTATGATGAATGAATAAAGACCTCTCGATTCTCAACAATGCTCCTTACTGTAGAATATCAAGCTAGTCTCGTGGAGTGGCATTACCCTAGCCATAGTCAGGATTACCTTTCCGCCAAATTCGATCCCTTTACCCTTAAGAAGTGCAAGAAGGTAGCAATATCTGCAGCCCAGTTAGAATTCTGTCTGACAAATGTTCAGACATACGTAGCCTCTTCCCACAAGCAGACCTCTCTGACAGTGTAGAATGTTACCTCCCTTAGCGAGAAGCACCCCGAACTCCTTGCCAGGTCTCTTGGTAACGGTACAGTGATATCGCCTGCTCAACCCGGACTGGTTTACCAACTTTCTCAATCAATACAGAAGATTATGTACGTCATATAGTAGGAATCGCAATCCACACTCGCAGCGTAGCTTTGGATACTCCATGAGAGAATCAGTTTGTACTAAACGTTGCGTATTCTGAATCTATGGCTTGCCTCTATACAGACCCAGCTATGGAGGCGGCATCCTGTTCGATCACAGCTCCTACTTAGGGATAGCTACATGTACTTTAAGAGAAGAACTGAATAGTCCTAAGCCTGATATCATTCTGCCTGCCAGAGAGAAAGAGAGACAAATGGTTAAAGAATCTAAGTACATGCTGCAGTTCACGCTGAGCACCTGAGTGACGTCTGCTCCTCAGGCGCTAGCAAGCACCAACACCAGCACCAGCAACACAAACAAGAAAACATCACTGAGCAGATATTCCGTGAAGTTCTGTTTCCTCGCTAGACGCGCGGTGCTCGCACACACAAAGTGAGATCTCAAGCGAGCCCAAACACCCTCCCAAGCATTGTAGCTGACCATCGATCAAACTCTCTTCATATCCATAGCAACACTTCCATAATTCTTCCATTTTTGCTCTTATTCAACCATCGTGATAAGCACAAGCTTCTGATATCATTGCTCGAGAATCCTTTGAAAAGAAACTGCCTACTACTTCTGCTACGTTGCCATGGCTTCGCAGAGTGGAAACGCGTGGGCGCAGATGAAGGCTCAGGAGCAAAAGCAGCAGCAGCAGACTGCCAACACCAACTTCGATAAAGGTAAGCAGGCATCCAGAATCCAGTGTCTCCTCGACAGGGGTCCACGAATGCTTTTCCCTGAAGACGGAAGAACCTTGGTGCTAATATGCTCGTTTGGTTGTAGTCGCTCAGCAGCAGACTACCAGCTCCGACAAAGGTAAGCAAGCGTTCAATATCTCCTCGACAGGGGTCCACGAATGCTTTTCCCTGAAGACGGAGGACTTGATGCTAATAAGCTCGTTCGTCGTAGTCGCTATACCTCGTAAGGGTCCAGTCATGGGTGCCAGACCAACCACCTCACGCAAGTCGTCGGGTCTCGATTACGACGCTGAGCTGGCCCTTCCCATGCCAAAGCCACGCCACCTTCCTGTGGAAGATAATGGTGAATCCGTCGAGGCTTGCAAGTCGGACGTCATGAGCAACCCTACCATGACTAAGAAGCGTTCCGTCACCGAGCCAGCTCGGCCCGAGGACGTCGAAAATAATAAGGTGGACAAAAACAGTCAGAAAGAAAAAATGAAATCCAGAGTGGCTGCGCTCAGGTCCAAGCTCAGTCTCAAAGATCTTGCAAAGGAGTTCCGCAGGGACAGCTCTAAAAATGAGCCAGCAGCGGGCAATGAAAGCGGACAGATCTATGGCGTGGATACTCAGGACTTCAACGAAGAGAAGCTGTATGTCCCTAAGCCACGAGACCCGGGAGTCTACCCATTGTCTGCACCAACCTTTCCGTTTAGGGACATCAGCTTTGGACAGTTTTCGCAGACGAGCGTTGAATCCTGTGCTGTGGCTCGTTCCATGGCAAACGATCAGCAGCCAAACAACGAAAAGTTGAGCCTTGGGCCCTTTGCGGGCAGAAACGCCATGCAGAGCCCTGTCGAGCGAGAGTCCGAGAGGAAAGTGCAGCTTGATACCCTGCTACTGACTGGCTCTTCTCCTGTGGCCCGCGCAGGCGAGCTCGAAAACAGTGGACAGGCGCAGGTCATCAGAGAGCAACCAAGCATTCGCAGCCTGAGAGCGGAGAACGATCTGGGCAGCCCTGCATCGACAAATATCTCGTTCTATGCGGTGGAAGATGAATTTGCCGATCCGATCTCGCCGTCCATATACGACAATGCCAGTGCCGAGATGACCCCAGACCTTCCAAATACCGCCCACAGACGGGGACGAGTTCGCACGAATGAACATAGATTTCCTGTGATGCTTGCGACTGATCAGCCAAGCTATCCCGCATCTTTCAATCATGGTCACGGGGGAGTTCAGCCTACCGTGATGACAGCATATCAGCCAGCACTCGAAGAGACGCACATCCAGCATTTCAATGCTCAACCTCACGCTGCAGTCGCTCAACACCCCTTCGCTGGTGTTACAAGTCACGGAGGCTACGCTCCTCCTCCACCAGATCCAGACTATCGGAACACAGCGGACCTGGAACAGCAGCTCACGTCCCATATCGAAGCAGTCCATGCCCATATGAACAACGTTGTTCATAGACTTTGCAGGGTACTTGAGAACTCGAACAATTGGTCAAAGGATCAGATTCTGCGACAGACAGACGCCATGTTCGATATTCTGCGTTTAATCAATGCCCGCACGGCAGGCCAGAATGAGGCCGTGTCAGACTTGCACCGCGGTATGACCAATCTTCAATGTCAGGTTGGAGCAATTGAATTTCAAATGAGGCGTATGGAAGAGAGGTTGTTGATCGGTGTCTCGAGCCAAATCAACAAACTGAGAGGAGAAATCAACGCGTCAAGAACGTCGCCTCAGAAGGCGTGTGCCTCCTGCAACTCAGCACCCGATCCGAAGATCACAGGTACTGAGTTGCAGGCGCCTGAAATTACTCCCGTTGTGACCAAGGACAGCGAGAAACAACTGGATAAAAATGGACAGCGGTGTGTCAAGAAGGGTGAAATGGAAGTAAGCAGGAACCAAGACAGGAAGAAAGGAAAGGAGAAGGAAGAAAGCAAGAACGTGTCTGGGGGTGAGGGCTCTTTGACCCAACACAACAACCAAGGACCCGCTCAAAACATTCCGTCCACTACTGTGCCCTTCCGCAGCACGCCTTTAGGAGAGAAACGCCGAGAGATCACAGACTCTCAGGTGAAGAGAGGGGTGAGAAGAAACCCTGCTCAGGAGTCCTCAGGCTCTCCTGAGCCTAAGGCGCCCAAGCTTAGTCGTCAATCTGCAGCCAACTTTGCTCCTGAGAATGGACAGAGTTCACTCATCCAGAACTCACACCTTGACACCAATGAAGGTGTGAAGACCCCTCACAAGAAGGGGATGTTTGGATTCCGCCGCCGGGATGACGGTGAAAGTCGTGCTGGCGGCAAATTCTTGCACACGCCCCGTCGGAATAAGAAGACCAAGAATTCTCAAGGACAGAACGGCCATTCCTCAACGCCTTCTGTCCCAGCTGCTGCAGTTGGAGCCTCACAGCCTTCGACACTCGCCGAGGAGAGCCCAAGCTCCATCCACCCCGCTTTACGCAATGACAAACAGCAGCAGATCATGCGTGATCGGGAGCGCCTCGAACCTCAGCCGCGTACGCAGACCGGACAGACGACCTGTGCAACGGAGAGACCTACCCCGCAGAGACGCGGATTGAAAAATCCGCATCCTCACCAGAACATCGGCACCAGCACACCAACCGCCAACCGCTTGCCCGCAAACGCCTTCGCTGTTACACCCTCTTCGTCTTCGTCACTCAATAGGGATATCCAGTTGCGTCCCCCTGCGGCGGCTGCGCCCCCTCGAGCACCTCTGATGCGGCCGAGCTATGCCGGCCAAACTCCGCATAATATACCTGCTTCCTTTCAGGTTTCTGATCCTGTCTCTGTCACTGCCTCAGCTCAAACGGGGACACAGGACTGGCAGGCTGCAACTTGGTGTCCGGCAGCGCAGAGCGGAGCCTCGCCTGAGAGTAATCAGAGCAACCATAATGCTTAGATCTCAAATCCGGATGAACTTCGTTGAGTATTCGTTTGTTGCGCACCAATCATTGAGATATGTGACTGCCGCTATGGGGCTTTTAGTCCAAACTGAAGTTGGATTGGTATTGTCGACGATAAGACCTGGAGTACATTTCACTCAATGTTTTGCCGAAGCTCAGCGTTCCTATTTGAATTCATGACTGGAAGCATTCCTTAGGACCTGACGAATTTGGTTGCTGGCTTTATTACTTGATGAGGGAGTGATGGATTTGGGTCTATTTGCACTAATGATGTGAGGAGGACGGGAGATTCTTAAAGGACCGTGCGTTCACGTGCTCAATTTACCTACGGGTATCTCCAATGTGTCGATGGCTGAGAAAAAACGGAAGGCCAGAAAAGCACAAAAAAAAAGATATGTGATAGGCTGCACTGGAGAAATGCACGAGAAATTTGTGAAAGGATCATAAACTCAAAAATAAGACTGAAGTCTGGTATTGTAATCGCAGCTCAATTCCGGCCCACAATCAACTTTTCTATATCCGCTGCCGCATCTCTAACCTGAGGGC